TCCACCGCCACCCCCGCCGCCTCCGCCGCCTCCGCTACTACCGCCGCCTCCGCCGCCTCCTCCACCGCCACCACCTCCGCCACCTCCGCTCCCATTGCCACCGCCGCCGCCGCCTCCGCCTCCACTGCCGCCACCGACACCTCCACCCCCACCTCCACTCCCACCGCCACCCCCACTCCCCCCGTCGCCTCCACCTCCACCTCCACCACCCCCGCTCGCTCCTCCAGTGCCCCTGCCTTCCTTGCCCCTGCCAGAGCGGCGTCTCCCGCTAGGGGCAGACGCCGCACTGACCGACTCAAGACCAACGAGGTCGGCCGCAGCAGCAGAGGCAATAGAGGGTAGAAGGGGGGAGGGGGAACACCCCTCAAAGATGGGGGTGCGAGAGTCACCACGAGAGGCCCCTACAGCGACTATGCTCTTCTCCGCCGCTAGGAGGGACTTCTCGAGGAGGTCAACAGTGAGAGTGGTGGGACAGACTGAGAGGAAGTGGTCTCTGACTATGCGAAGGGAGTCAGGGAGGCGAGTGACTATGTAGTAGAGAGTGATGTACATGGGGGGGGGGTTCTTGGCGCAGAAGTCAGCAGGAAGCGCAGCGCGGTAGCGAGTGTCACTAGTGCGGAGGTGCGTAATGAGGTCAGCGACTCTGGGAAAGGCAGCAAGGTCAGGGAAGAGGTACGGTAGCATGAGACGGCTCAGTGCAACAGTGGCAGGGGAGGAGTAGCGTGCCACTACAGCGTCGTACAAGGTCTGAGCACTCTTGTACTGACTAAAGTGCGCACGCTCAGAGGTAGGGAGGTGGCGACGCACAGCAAGACGTGCAGCAGCATCGCGCGTGGCCCACTGTGAGCGAACAGTGGCGTCAGCATCAGCAGCAGGAGCATGAGAGGCACCAGAGGTGAGGTCAAAGAGGGAGAGACCGTCTGCCCTATCGCACTGTAAGAACAGCCGCAGGTCATCTACCCAGACGTCAAAGTCAATGGCTCAACCCTCGGCGTCAAAAGCGAGGACACTAGGGGTAGCCATGACAACAGTAGACTAGCAGCGCTGGCTGTAGAGCAGGGGCAGTGCAGTGACAGAGGCGTTGCGCTCACCAGACAGGGCGGTTCGGGCAGCTCGGGCGGCTCGGCAGCAACTGCGGCTCGGCGGCACCCGCGGCTCGGCTCCTCAGCTGCTTAGGCGGCTCGGGCGGCTCGGGCGGCTCGGGCGGCTTGGGCGGCTCGGGCGGAACGGGCGGCTCGGGCTGCTGAGCGGCGCGGGCGGCTCGGCTGCGTAGGCGGTTCGGGCGGGGCCGTAGGTAGGGCGATGGGGCCGGGTCGAAGGTAGGGCGACGGGGCCGGTGCGCATGTAGGGCGACGGGGCCGGGGCCGGGGCGCAGGTAGGGTGACGGGGCCGGGTCGAAGGTAGGGTGACGGGGCCGGGGCCGGGCCGTAGGTAGGGCGACGGGGCCGGGTCGAAGGTAGGGCGACGGGGCCGGGCCGTAGGCAGGGCGACGGGGCCGGGGCCGGGCCGTAGGTAGGGCGACGGGGCCGGGTCGGCTGTAGGGCGACGGGGCTGGTGCGCAGGTAGGGCGACGGGGCCGGGGCCGGGGCGCAGGTAGGGCGACGGGGCTAGGGCCGGGGCCGCAGGTATGGCGACGGGGCCAGGGTCGCAAGGGGGGGGGGGGGGCGACGGGGCCGGGGTCGCAGGTAGGGCGACGGGGCCGGGGCGCAGGTAGGGCGACGGGGCCGGGGCGCAGTTAGGGCAACGGGGCCGAGGCGAAGGTAGGGAGACGAATCAGGGGCCGCTAAGGCGGCGCGACTTGGCCGCTAGGGCGGCTCGACGAAGTCAGAGAAGGGAGCGCGACTCGGGCAGAGCGCGCTCCGAGCAGGAAAAAAAAAAACTTTCGACTTGGTGGGCCCTAGGCACAGTTCCCACGAGGGAACCTGCTCGATACCATGTGAGAATCGAAACGAGAATGAGTGCACTAAGGAATGGAATGTGGTACAAATATGCAACCCTAGAAATGGGTACCCCATATAGGCTACCCCACTACAGCCTACAGAACATTATGATTTGACAGGTTGGGCTGCGCTTCAACCGTCAGATTCGTCTGACCTCCAGATCCTCCGGCCATTCTTACGCGTGATCGTGAGCCGGACGCCACATTCCGAATGTCGCAGATTTCGGAGATGGCGGTGCGAAGGATTCCTGGGTCGCTCTCATACCATGCTGCGATCAGAAGTTGATCGTGGCCTAGGATCTACTCAGGAAGGTTCGCACGCAGAGAAGTGATGTTGGTGGGCCCTTGACCTCAATAGCAGAGTGAATGTAAAATGCTTTGAGATAATAAACACATGCAGTACAAGGAATATAAATATGAGTACAGTGGAATTCGAAACGACCTAACTAGCCATGTACTCTAAGATGTACATTCCCTTATTGTAGCGAAATCCAACCGTGCGACTCCGAGTGGTTACGTAACTGTTCGGGCAGAATCCTCGCCATTGCTGCTGCCTGATGCTGTCTGCCCGACGATCCAGATGCTCCTCGTAACCGTCTGTCCCTTCGCCTTTCTTCTGGCTTTTCGTCTTCACTCTCGATAATGCGTGCTTCGGCTTTACTACGGTGAGGAGTGCGCAACAATGTTTTTCATTAACTACTATTCGTAACACAAACCATGCCATAATTTGAATAACACGTACTTTATTTGGCTGCTGTACTTGTTTGCTACTTTGGTGGCGAACCTAGCTAACATCTGTGAATTGGAGATGCTACGTGATTGGAGATGCTATGTGATGTGATTATATGCATGCCCTGGATTAATATGATCGCAATCTGTTATTGGAGACGCTATGTGATTGGAGATGCTATGTGATTATCTGCATGCCCTGGATTTATATGATCGCAAGCTGTTATAGGAGATGGAAGGCTACAACTCGCCATGCAGAATATGTCGTGAGAATCGAGGAAATTCGACGGATGAGATTTTCCGTGGTTTGATAAGGTCGTCGATGCGGCACGAAAGCACACGCAGAAACGTGCAAGCTCCACTTTGGAATCACAGACGGAACACCCATGCCCAAGAGCACCACAGAGGTTCCACCACACTCCACAAGCGAAAAGAAGACATTTCCACACTGCACACTATTGTAGGTCATGTGACTGTCCACTACAGCTAGTAGAAACACATTTCACTCCACAATAGATTCCCTTCCGAATCCTTTTCCTATTCCGTATCCTTTTCCGCAACCTTTCATTTCGGTCCTTCGCGCGCCGTGCTGAGCGCGTTACCAACGAGTGCAGGTTGGAAGCCTTGAAGCCGTCGATGTAGGAAGTATTAGCTGCGAGCCGCCATGTTTCGCAACGGAAGCTTAGGCCTACCAGGATTCGGTGGAGATGACGAGGAATACAACACTTTAAAGCAGAAACTCGCGTCTCCGTCCCAGAAAAGGTATACCAGGACAGCATTTTACATTGACGATGTCAATCTCTTCATGGAAATCTTTAAGATGCCCCAGCTTTACCTCACGAATAGTTTCTAATTGATGTTATGCCGAAGCACCAGTTAATGCCAATCCATAGTTCAGGAGGGCCTATCTAGTGGACCTTAGGCTGGAAGAGCGAAGTCCTCCGTGTTTATCTCCGCGCTTATAAGCTAACTCAACACGCCAACACTGCGCAAGTCGGAGTGCACGTTTAACCCAACTCCCTCCTTCCGTTCTTCCCAACTCCCTCGCATCCGCGCAGCGTGCGGTTACCGCCGTCGTCGTCAGGGTCCGCTGCTTCGTCCGCGTCGAACCGGGATGTGCCAGCAGCGGGTGCGGCGGCGAGTGCGAAGAAGGCAGATGTGCAGAAAACGGATGTTCCTCTGGAAAGTGCACGTACCGCAGCCAATGTGTCACCTGCCATAATCACAGTTCCTATTGTCCGCCCTGATATTTTCAGCGACGCTGCTGCAACTCCCAGCGCCACCGCTGCTGCTCCAGACCCTTCGCCCGACGCCAGTAGTGCGACAGGGAGCATTTCTAGAAAGGCTAGTAACGAGTCTCGCACTAACGAATCTGTCCAGGCTGGAAGCAGCGGGGCAGACGAGACGGGGAGTAAGGAGGGGAGCCTACATGCGCGGCAAGCAGGCACGTCTAAGAGGGTTGCCTTTGCTCTTCCCTCCTTAGAAACAGGCGAGCCAGCGAAGGAATTCACCAAGGCAGTTCGCGGGGCTGCTGATGGCGATGGCGGTGATAAGCGTGAGGCCGGGACTTCTCCACTGCCGGCCATCGGATCCCGACCATCCGAATCTCAACCGTCCGATGCGTCTTCGCCGTCCACTTCGCCACCAGCTGAGAACCCCATAGAGACAGCTCTCGCCGTGGCTTCTGATTGGCTGAGACGGCAGGGAATAGGAGCGCGCGCAGTGGCTGCTATCGACCATGCGATTCACAAGTGAGTCAAGGGGGGAGGGAGGGGGGGAGAGAGGGAGCGGGGGAGGGAGCGGGGGTGGGAACGGGGGCGGGAGCGGGAGAGGAAGCGGGGGAGGGAGGGGGGGGAAGAGGGAGCGGAGGAGGGAGTGGGGTAGCGTACGCTGTATGCCCCCCGTGATTTTGAAGTAACGGCTGTATGCTTCCCCATGGAAGGCAAGGACGGTACAAGTGTAGAGAAGAATACAGCTGGTTGTTCAGGCGAATACGCTCCTCCTGTTTCACTCCCTGCTCCTACATTCGTACCTTCCCGACTCCTTGTTTCAGCATGGGACCAGCAGCACAGGGGGCGGCGCAGGCCGGGCGGCAGCTGTGGGCGGCGCATGGGCGGCAGGCGGTGGGGGAGGTGGTGAAGTGGCCGATGCTGGCACATGTGTGCATCGGCGTGGGTCTCACGTTCCTCCTCTGCCAGACAGGCTTCCTTCTCTCCCTGCTGCTGCTGCCCTGGGCTGTGCTCTACTTCTGGCTGGTACGCCGCTGCTGCTGCTAGATATTTTTTAGAATTTAGAAAATTCTTTTCCGTCACCCTTTTTTTTTCTCTCACTGATGCTGGCGCGGCCGCGTCACCACAAGCTTCGGAAAGTGACCATCCCCTCCGTTTCCACCCCAACCGCCCTTGCCGTTCCTGCCCCCTCCTCCCCTTCCCTCCACCCGTGCATGCAGCTGTGGACGCACCATTACGAGCGCCTGAAAGTGGCAGTCAGAGCAGCCGTGCGCATCGAGCAGCTCATGTCGCGGGTGAGACACCTGCAGCAGAGCTCAATAGCACTTACAGGCGTTTTTCGTGTACTGTGTCTGTGGTGATGAGCTTTGAAACAAGCCTTTCAGTTGTTAGACGTAGAAGCATGAAAAACATGCCCACTGCTGCTGGGCAAGGCCTGGCCCCCCTTCCTCAACCACCACTTTCTCACTCCCACTCTACTCCCCGCTCCCCGTTCCTCTGCTTGCTACACACAACACAGGCCATGCCCGAGGCGGAAACGGCCTTCTGGGCGTCGGTGCTTCTCTCCAAGGCATGGCCGCTCTTCCTCAACGCCTCTCACACCCCCCACTCCTCCCTTCCCCCCTTCCTTGTTACATTGCAGGCCATGCCCGAGGCAGAGACAGCCTTCTGGGCGTCGGTACTGCTGTCCAAGGCGTGGCCTCTCTTCCTCAACGACCTCGTCTCCACCAAGCTCATGCCCAAAGTCGCTCCCTGGTTCCTCTCCCGATACAAGCCTCCCATGCTCGTACGTCCATCCGCCTCTACCTTCCCACCCGATGCCGGATGCTCTCCCATGCTGCTCCATCCCTCCATGTCGGTCTGTTACTGTCGGACGTACAGCAACTGTCAGTGCCTGTCAGTGACTCACTGTCTGTCCTTCCCGTCCGAATTCCTTAGGCATACGGGATGGAAATGCCTGTGCCTGCCACATGCCACTTGTGTGCCTGATGCGTGCATGCGTCACCCCCGCCCATGACAGGCGAAGGTGGAGGTGGTGAAGGCCAACTTCGGTGACACAGCGCCCGTCATCACATCCATCAAAGCGTTCCGGGAGGGAGGCGGGCGCAACCATGTGGTGCGTGAGTGAGGGAGAGAGAGTGGGTGAGTGAGTGGGTGGGTGAGTGCTGGTGGCAGCATGTGCTGAGTATGTGCTTCCTACCTCCTGCTTTCTCTCTCCCTCCTTGCCCATCCCTGCCCATCACCCTCTTCTCTAGGAGCAGGCGACACCATGTCATGCCACACTACTTGCCCTTTACCCCCCTCTCTATCGCCGCACGTCTTCCTTTCATCACACCCGGTTGCCTCATCTCCCTTGCCGGGAGCTGCAGTGTGCAGTGCTGCATGCATGCACCACCATTCCACACTCTCCTCGCCTCGCCCCTTCCCCTTCATCTCTCCGCACCTCACCCCTGCCCCTCACCAGAAGCTGGAGGCGAGTGTGGAGGAGGCGGCGGCGTGTGCCAACAACAAAACTGTGCTGCCAGCACCGACCCCCCTCGTTGCCTCGCCCCTTCAATCTCACCTCACCCTCTCCATGACCAGGAGCTGGAGGCGAGTGTTGAGACAACATGAGTGTGCGAGCAGCCGCGTATGTGGCGGGCATGACAAGCATCCCGCTCCTGTTGACCGCATTCCAATCTCCCCTTGCCACCCCCCCCTGCCCCTTATCCATCTCACCAGGAGCTGGAGGCGAGTGTGGAATTGGTGGGGGCGGACAACTTGAGCGTGCAGGCGACTGCTTATGTGGCGGGCATGGGCAGCATCCCCTGGACCGCCTACATCACCGGGCTGCAGCTCACCGGCACGGTGCGAGAGCGGCTAGGCATGGCATTGTGGGAATAGACATATTATAGTTGAGGGGTGAAAGCACGGGTACCATCCCATGGACTGCCTGCATCACATCACAGAGCCGCACTTCACTGGCACAGTTGCGCAGTATGAAAAGGAAGGAGGGTTAGGTGACGATGTGCTGTGCTGAATACGAGTCCTGGACACGCATCTCCTCTCTCAACCCCCGCTCCTTTCCACGCCTCTCCCTGCAGATGCGTGTGGGCTGCGCTTCCGCTGCTCGCTCGCCTTTGTGGATGTGGTGACGGATGCTGTAGAAGCGTCGTGAACGCCCTCTCTCTGCCTGCCTTCTGCGCCCTCCCCATCCCCATCCCCATCCCTGCAGATGCGAGTGGGACTGCGCCTCCGCTACTCGCTGCCTTTTGTGGACCGGTTCATGCTAAGCTTCATGAGACTCTGGGAATGCTGTAGAGGCGTTGTAAATGCCCCTTTCCCTCCCCATCCCCACTCCTCCCCCTCCCGCCCTCCCCATCGCCCGCCCTGCAGATGCGGGTGGGGCTGCGGTTCCGGCGCTCGCTGCCCTTTGTGGACCGCGTGACGCTGAGCTTCGTGCGCCCCCCCCAGGTGTCGTGCGCCATCAAGGTCATGGGCGCCCTCGACGCCGGCAGCATTCCGCTTGTGGCCTCCTATGTGGTGCGTGCATGCCATGGGGTGGGGTGGGGTGGGATGGGTTGGGATGGCATGGGATGGCATGGCATGGGATGGGATGGGATGGGATGGGATGGGATGGGATGGGATGGGATGCACTGCAAGGGGATGGACATGATGCCCCTTGCTCTTGGGTTACTCTCATGCTTCATGCTTATGCCCCATGCCCCCATGCCCCCATGCTCAGGAGTCTTGCTTTGCCTATGTGTGCTATTCCTGTTGCCCTTCCCATCCCATGGCCTTTCCTATCCCCCTGGCAACGAGCAGGAGTACACTCTCCAAAACGCCCTCAAGACGTCCCTCTGCTGGGTACGTGCCCGTTGTCCCCCTACTCCTCACGCCCATGACTGTTTCTTCAGACCAAACCGTGCCATACCATGTCACATACCCCCATGCACCAGTAGTACCGTCATGTTATACCATACGTTTGCAAGCCAGTCCATGCCCTGCCATAGCGTAACGTGCATGCATGCCACATCCCCTTGTGATGTCTTATGCCACGCCATGCCATGCCACGTCATACCTCCCGTTCACACCCCAACCGCCTGGTGGTGGTGGATGCGGTGCAGGCAGCTGCCTTGGTGCTCAACATGGCTCAGTGTGTCATGCCTCACATGGCTCAGTGTGTCATGCCTCACATGGCTCAGTGTGTCATGCCTCACATGGCTCAGTGTGTCATGCCTCACATGGCTCAGTGTGTCATGCCTCACATGGCTCAGTGTGTCATGCCTCACATGGCTCAGTGTGTCATGCCTCACATGGCTCAGTGTGTCATGCCTCACATGGCTCAGTGTGTCATGCCTCACATGGCTCAGTGTGTCATGCCTCACATGGCTCAGTGTGTCATGCCTCACATGGCTCAGTGTGTCATGCCTCACATGGCTCAGTGTGTCATGCCTCACATGGCTCAGTGTGTCATGCCTCACATGGCTCAGTGTGTCATGCCTCACATGGCTCAGTGTGTCATGCCTCACATGGCTCAGTGTGTCATGCCTCACATGGCTCAGTGTGTCATGCCTCACATGGCTCAGTGTGTCATGCCTCACATGGCTCAGTGTGTCATGCCTCACATGGCTCAGTGTGTCATGCCTCACATGGCTCAGTGTGTCATGCCTCACATGGCTCAGTGTGTCATGCCTCACATGGCTCAGTGTGTCATGCCTCACATGGCTCAGTGTGTCATGCCTCACATGGCTCAGTGTGTCATGCCTCACATGGCTCAGTGTGTCATGCCTCACATGGCTCAGTGTGTCATGCCTCACATGGCTCAGTGTGTCATGCCTCACATGGCTCAGTGTGTCATGCCTCACATGGCTCAGTGTGTCATGCCTCACATGGCTCAGTGTGTCATGCCTCACATGGCTCAGTGTGTCATGCCTCACATGGCTCAGTGTGTCATGCCTCACATGGCTCAGTGTGTCATGCCTCACATGGCTCAGTGTGTCATGCCTCACATGGCTCAGTGTGTCATGCCTCACATGGCTCAGTGTGTCATGCCTCACATGGCTCAGTGTGTCATGCCTCACATGGCTCAGTGTGTCATGCCTCACATGGCTCAGTGTGTCATGCCTCACATGGCTCAGTGTGTCATGCCTCACATGGCTCAGTGTGTCATGCCTCACATGGCTCAGTGTGTCATGCCTCACATGGCTCAGTGTGTCATGCCTCACATGGCTCAGTGTGTCATGCCTCACATGGCTCAGTGTGTCATGCCTCACATGGCTCAGTGTGTCATGCCTCACATGGCTCAGTGTGTCATGCCTCACATGGCTCAGTGTGTCATGCCTCACATGGCTCAGTGTGTCATGCCTCACATGGCTCAGTGTGTCATGCCTCACATGGCTCAGTGTGTCATGCCTCACATGGCTCAGTGTGTCATGCCTCACATGGCTCAGTGTGTCATGCCTCACATGGCTCAGTGTGTCATGCCTCACATGGCTCAGTGTGTCATGCCTCACATGGCTCAGTGTGTCATGCCTCACATGGCTCAGTGTGTCATGCCTCACATGGCTCAGTGTGTCATGCCTCACATGGCTCAGTGTGTCATGCCTCACATGGCTCAGTGTGTCATGCCTCACATGGCTCAGTGTGTCATGCCTCACATGGCTCAGTGTGTCATGCCTCACATGGCTCAGTGTGTCATGCCTCACATGGCTCAGTGTGTCATGCCTCACATGGCTCAGTGTGTCATGCCTTCACATATGTTGCTCCCCCTCTCCTAACCCACGCCACCCCCCCCACCCCCCTTTCACAGCCCAACCGGCTGGTGGTGGTGGACGCGGTGAGGGCAGCTGCCTTGGTGCTGGACCTCTTTACGTGTGTCATCCCCTCAACCCCGTTCCCCCTCCACCCCACCCCATCCATCTGCAGCCCAACCGGCTGGTGGTGGTGGACGCGGTGAGGGCAGCGGCCTTTGTGCTGGACCTGCCAGTGCCGCCCCCCACACCCGAGGAGATCAGCATTGTTACTCCCCGGCCCATCACCAAGGCCAAGAGTGAGTGGCGTGGAACAAGAGGTAGTGGGGTGCGCGTGCATGGCGGAGTGAGTGGGGGGTGTGCGCTCAAGGTTTAACTACCAGTGCCGCCCTTCACACCCGAGGAGATCAGCATCGTCGCTCCCCGGCCCATCACCAAGGGGAAGAGTGTGCGGCGTGGTGCTAAGGGGACAGGTGAATAGTGTGGTTACAAAGAGAGAGACGGAAGGGGTGGGTGGTGGCTGACGGAGAGCGTGGAGCTGCATGCTTGGGGTCGGGGGCAAGAGAGCGGGAGGTGCGTGTAACTAAGGAGCAGGCATGGGGGGCTTGACGTGCCTGTCACTGCTCGCTTCCACACCTGAGGGAATTGGCATTGTCACTCCACGGCTGTTTGTCAAAGAAAGGACGAAGTAATGTGCTGTCATTGGTGGGAGTGTTAGGTGTGCTCTCTAGGCAAAGGGTGAGTACTGTGCTCCCTCCCGCCTCCCCCTCTCCCCCACTCTCCCACTTCCCCACTCTCAACACCCTCCGGATCACAGCTGCCTCCTCTGCTCTTCCCAACCCTTTTCTTCTCTCCGCACCTAACCTCCCTCCCACTCTCGCTCCTGTCCTCCCCTCTCTCCCCACCCCCTTTGTACGTGCCCCCAGGTACCCTCTCTGCTATCTCCAAGAAATTTCTTTCCAAGAAAGGCAAGGACGGCGCTGCCGCCTTGCCAGCTGTCGCCACGCTATTGGTCGAAGTCATCGAGGCAAAGGATCTCCTGGCGGCAGATTCGGGCGGCACATCTGACCCCTACGTGAAAGGGTCGATCGGCGCCGCCCGCTTCCAAACCGCGGTCATCTCGAAAAACCTTAACCCGCAGTGGAACCAAAAGTTTGACGTGCCCGTGGCGGACTGGTCTCTGCCCGAAAGCTACACTCTGGTACTGCGCGTGAAAGACTACGATATGTTCTCAGCCAATGATGCGATCGGGCGGGCTCAGATGGACATTAGTGCGGTGAGGGGGGCTGGGAGGAAGGAAGAGTGGCTGTCACTAGTGGACGGTGGAAATGGAAAGATCAGAGTGGCTGTAGAGGTGAAGGAGGATGGGGGTGTTGGTCCCAGCGGCAGTGACTCCGATCCTGCTGGCCCTTCTGCTGTCGCTGCTGGTGGTAGTGCTGGTGGTGAGAGTGGTGGTGCAGCTGTGGGTGGAAGGGGAGTGGAGAGAGCAGCGTCAGACGCATCAACATCCACATTAGAGTCGTACACTCACGACTCGCAATCCGTGTCTCCTGCCCGCTCAGAGGATGCTGCTCGAGTTGCTGCGCCCACCACAGCCACAGGTCCGCGACTTCCTTGGAGCTCTTCCCTTTACCATCCTCTTGCTGTAAAACAGCAAAACCTCCTCTCTTATCTTTTTTTCCTGCATCTCTACCTTTGCTTCTTTGCCCTCTAGTCGCGCCTGCCAAGCTGCACCTGCCAACACAGCATGCACGCCTCAAGGGGTTTAATGTGCGTCAGAACACGTCCCACGAGCCACAGCCTCATTTCTCTTCTTCCCTCTTCCCCCATCCACCTCCGCCCTCCCGCCCTACCCTCTCCCACAGTCGTTCCGCGTTCATCTACCTCCGAGGTCCCCCCCTCCCCGTCTCTCACGCCCTCCTCCTCCTCATCCGCCAAGAGCAGCAGCAGTTGGTTCCGAGGCCTGTCCAGCACCGGCCGTGGCAGCCGCAACAGCCGCTCAGGCAGCACCACCACCTCATCCCAGCCTACCTCCCTTGACGAAACCACCCCTGGGGCCACAACTCCCAAGGAAATCACTCCTGCACCAAAAACGCCCAAGGAGGGCACACCACGGTCAGGCAGCCGAAGCTGGTCATTCAAGTCGGGGTCGCTGAGGCGCCTGGGGTCAGGGTCTGGTGCCAGCTTGGGTATTGCCGTGGCCACTGTCCACGTGGAGGTGATCGAGGCTGATTCCCTCGTTGGTGCCGATAAGATTGGTGAGTGTGTGGGCTGTTGTAGCGGGGACGATTGGGGTTGTGGTGAGGGCTTGAGGGCAGTGCAGTGGCGGCTGTTCACGTGGAGGTGAACGATGCCGATGAGGCTGACTCCCTCATTCCCGCCAATCAAATGGTTACGTTGTTGTGCCTTCTGGGTTGTAACTTGTAAGCTCGTACGTGTGGTGCGGATCTTGGGTTGGATAAGACTTTCGCAGTGGGGCAAACATCACTGGGTTCCATCAGGTCTCGAGTTTAGGTGTTACACTTACTGTATGCTCTCGCTTACAGTTCACTCCTCCTCAGGTTCTCATTAAGAGTTTTTATTAAGCGCCCTGTTCTGATATTCGTTTCCTTCACTTTATAAGTCCTTCCTCATCTTAGCCCTCATTCTTGCTCTTTGTCGGTGCTGCGGTTGGCTCATGCCAAGCAGGCACATCCAATCCAACCCCATTCTGAAAGGCTTCGTAAAGTCCTCCGAATATTCCATGTCCACCTCCCGCGACTTCCTGCCTCTTTTTCCTCCTCCCTGCCCCTCCTCTTCCCTGTCCCTTTTTCCTCTTCCCTGCCCCTTTTTCCTCTTCCCTGCCCCTTTTTCCTCTTCCCTGCCCCTTTTTCCTCTTCCCTGCCCCTTTTTCCTCTTCCCTGCCCCTTTTTCCTCTTCCCTGCCCCTTTTCCCTCTTCCCTGCCCCTCCTCTTCCCTGTCCCTTTTTCCTCTTCCCTGCCCCTTTTTCCTCTTCCCTGCCCCTTTTTCCTCTTCCCTGCCCCTTTTTCCTCTTCCCTGCCCCTTTTTCCTCTTCCCTGCCCCTTTTTCCTCTTCCCTTCCCCATTCCCCCTTCTCTCTGGCCCCCACACGTGTGCCGTGCAGGCACATCTGATCCCTACCTGAAAGGCTCCCTGGGCTCTTCCAAATTCTCCACCAAAATCATTTTCAAGACGCTCTGCCCGCGATGGAACGAAAAGTTTTCGCTGCCCGTGAAGGAATGGCCGCCTGCGGGCAGCCCGTTCCTCTTGAAGCTGAACATTTTCGACCGTGATATGCTGACTCAGCACGACCCGCTAGGGAACGCTGCCCTCGATATAATGCCGTTGAGGGATGGTGTGAGGCACGCCCTGTGGGTGAAGCTGGAGAACGTGGCTACAGGGAGGGTGCATGTGGCTGTGACTGTAGAGGATCACCTTGGGCCGGCAGAGACTGATGATGAAGAGAATGAGTCAGTGGAAGGAGGTGAGGAGGGTGGAGATGGGAAAGCGGGGGTTAACTCTGCCCCCACCAGTGCCGGCCAGTTAACACCTGCACCAGAATCACATTCCCGGGTGTCGTCACGGTCGTCCAAGAAGCCAGCAGGCAAAGCACCTGCGCTCTCCAGCATTCCTTCGGGGCAGGAGCTCTCAGCCATGGCTGACGCTCCTGCTGCCTCTTCCTCTTCCTATGGGCCTTCCAGTCCCCCGGCTGCCAGTGACTCCCCTGTGGCAGGAAAGGGGGGAATGGGAGAGGCTGGGGAGGCAGGGGGGGGGACAGAAGGAGGCTGGGAGTCTGATGCGCAGGGGCTGCAGGGAGTGGAGAAGGAGGTGCCGCAGGTGTGGGTGGCTCATGTGGAGATTATTGAAGCGACGGATCTGGTCGTTGCTGACATGACAGGTGAGAGATCGGCTAGAGCTTGTGCTGCTTGTGCCTGCCATTCTGCTTCTCCGTTTTCTGCTTTTATTTTTTCTTCTTCTTCTTCTTCTTCTTCTTCTTCTTCTTCTTCTTCTTCTTCTTCTTCTTCTTCTTCTTCTTCTTCTTCTTCTTCTTCTTCTTCTTCTTCTTCTTCTTCTTCTTCTTCTTCTTCTTCTCCTCCTCCTCCTCCTCCTCCTCCTCCTCCTCCTCCTCCTCCTCCTCCTCCTCCTCCTCCTCCTCCTCCTCCTCCTCCTCCTCCTCCTCCTCCTCCTCCTCCTCCTCCTCCTCCTCCTCCTCCTCCTCCTCCTCCTCCTCCTCCTCCTCCTCCTCCTCCTCCTCCTCCTCCTCCTCCTCCTCCTCCTCCTCCTCCTCCTCCTCCTCCTCCTCCTCCTCCTCCTCCTCCTCCTCCTCCTCCTCCTCCTCCTCCTCCTCCTCCTTCTTCTTCTTCTTCTTCTTCTTCTTCTTCTTCTTCTTCTTCTTCTTCTTCTTCTTCTTCTGGTACTGCTGCTGCGACATGGCTTGATGTGATTGTTTTGGAGTATCGTGACAAACACGTCTTCCATGAATCGTTTTTAACAGGTTATTCGGATCCGTACACAATCGGCAAGATCGGAGAAGCAACGTTTCAAACGAAGCATATCTCGCGAACGCTCAACCCTAAATGGTACGAGGAGTTTAAGGTCTCCGTACCCGTATGGGACCCTGACGTCACGTACCTTCAACTCGTCGTGAAAGATCGAGACACCTTCTCTTCTGATGAATCTATAGGCAAGGCGAATGTCAACTTGAACGTGTTACGGGATGGACAGCGCCACGCGCTGTGGTTACCGTTACAAGGAGTGAAGAGCGGCAAGGTGCATGTAGCGGTGACGTTGAAGGAGCAGAATGTGGAGTCTAATGTTGTGGTGCACGAGCTTATGCCTGGCTGTGTCATCGAGTGCTATGATGCAATCAAGCTGGTGCTCTAACATACTATTGTGAGTGCTTTAGCTACTTACTGTAGCTTGGGCTAGTGCAGGATTCCTAGAACGGAATGTGAGCAAGACTCTGTGCATAACACGAGTTGAGAGGATTGGCACTTCTAGTGCACTTCCTGGGTAAAGGACCCTGGACGTGTTCCACATGTGTCATATAATATATAGCGTTTTGCAGAACGTGAGATTATCGTTAGTGCGAGTAAACGCAGTTAGGAAACGGCGTGAAGAGCACCTTGTTGAACTTCTGTCGTTCATCTTTTTCGTGCGTCGCTATGGTCAAATAGGTCGTTGCATGCCAGCGAGGCACCGCCAGCAAGTCAGCGAAAGGCAACCTTGCCTCGCTGGGCCATCGAGGCTCAACCACCACGTGGAGAGACTGGCAATGACAGCGAATCAAGCCCAACTCACGACTGGACTGGAATGCACCGCACTGAAATCTTCTGCGTCACCTGATATGCTGCACATTAACCAACTGCACCGTAGCTAAACGAACCAGCACCAGAGTCGGGTATTCCACCCACTCCACAATGTGCAGCTGTGCTGACCCAAGGAGAGCTCCCCACACCACCCCAACATGCGCTGGTCATTCAAATCCCCCGTGCAATCTCTGTTGCTCTGAACATCAGTGATCATTTCCAATTCACTTAGCACTTACTGCTTTATCACTTTGCAGCACTTCAAATCAAACACCTCTTACTTTTACCGCTCGCATCGGAAAACCTATTTTCGCACCAGCGCCACCTAGCTGCAGCATTGCCCGACCACGACGATGGGTAACTCAACATGCGACGCGCAGCTTGATAAAAAGGCGCAAGCAACGGCGGCTGCAATGTCCGAGGGAACCGCCAAGTCCGAACCCGCGCATCCGCCTCCGCCTGTCTCTCACCCCCCGGCTCCGCCTCCCCCCGCAATGGGAATTCCCGCTGTAGGAGTTCCCGCGACTTCGTGGCCTCCTCGATACTGCAAGCCCGAATCGAGCCGCGTGGTACGCCCGTCGACTTCTCTTTTTCGCTTTCTCGATTTCACTAGATAGCATCAGTAGATGTAACCGTGGAGCGCGATGCGTCATCCCTTATTCAATACGTCACCACGCCCCGCCGAAGAATCCCACCGCGGAGTCCGCACCGCATCCGCTGCGATTCTGCGATTCTTCTTGTGCCCATGGCAATGCACATTTCAGGAAATGGCGAGGAGGGAGGGCGCGCTGCACGTCCGCATACCCGCGCCGGGCTTCTTCCAACGCGGCGCCGTCGGCTGGATCATGTGCCTCCTCGCGCCTCTTTTCGTGAGCACCTCCTTCAACCCTCACCCATCGGACCGCCCTTATCCCGCGTCCTTCGGTGCCGGTGCAAGCGCATTTCGGTGATGCCCTACTCCTCCAAACGAGACGTTTCCTTCCCACTCGTTCAGTGACCTTTCGCGTCTCAACCTCCGTCACCTTTCCCCTCCCCAAACCCTACGGCCTTCGCCCCCTCCCCCCATTCCCAACGGCGCGTGGCAGTTGATACTGGCAGTGGCGGCGTCATTCTTCTTCGTCGGCACCTTCTGGCTCCTCCTCGGCATCGCCATGTGAGCGCGCCCTACCGCATCGCCATGTGAGCGCGCCCTACCGCATCGCCATGTGAGCGCGCCCTACCGCATCGCCATGTGAGCGCGCCCTACCGCATCGCCATGTGAGCGCGCCCTACCGCATCGCCATGTGAGCGCGCCCTACCGCATCGCCATGTGAGCGCGCCCTACCGCGTCGCCATGTGAGCGCGCCCTACCGCATCGCCATGTGAGCGCGCCCTACCGCATCGCCATGTGAGCGCGCCCTACCGCATCGCCATGTGAGCGCGCCCTACCGCATCGCCATGTGAGCGCGCCCTACCGCATCACCATCACCATCTACATTGCACCGCCCCATCCCTCCTGCAGCGCCCCTCATAATCGATCCCACTCGCATCAACATTTCGCTTTGCATTCCTTCCATTCCATGATTGCTTCTTCTGTCAATGCCTCTTCTATCTGCTTCCCGCCCATCTCACATGCTGCACCCCCCATTCGTTCCAACCCTCTCAGATCCACCATCTCGTGGGTGGGCGTGGCGACGCGCAGGGAGAGCGTCACGCTGGGCCCCGACGCCTTCTCCATCGTGCACACGCGCTACGGCGTGTCCAAGAAGCGCGAGGGCAGCACGCACCTCGTCCACTCCATCCTCGTCGTCGATCGCAACGCTCCGCGCCTGCTGCACCCCCCGCAATCCACAACGGCTCCCGGCATTCCCGTCCCGGGTCCTACTCCCCCCACTGCAGCCGCTCCTGCTGCCGCCAGTGGAAGCGCACCCACTGCCCGGCGTGGTCCCGCCGCAGCTGCTGCCGCCACCGCCAATGCCCGCGCGCGGGAGACACCAGCAGAGCCTTCGGAGCTTGTGTGTGTGTTTGCGCTGCCGGGCACAGTGCATAGGTTCGGTGCGAACCTGAGTGATGCGGAGAAGTACTGGGTGGTGGGTGAACTGGCGTATTACCTGCAGAGCGTGCGCTTGCACCTGGCACAGCAGAATGTATGATGGATAGCATGTAATGTAAGCTGGCAGTACAGCAGGAATCTCACAACCTGCAGACCTTGAGAGTTGCAGAGCAGTGTTGGGTGGTGGGCGAGCTGTCATACCACCTGCACTCCATGCGTGTGCATGCACTCAGCACAGCATGCCGTGTAGACCATAGCTGTAATATACTACACTTAGGATTTGGTCCGGTCACATAGCAATCCCACAACCTGTTTTAGATCCCATGCTCCTGAAGCTATTTTGAGCTGACATTGAATAGAAGTCGCTCCTTGAACACTTCTGCTTCCCAGGGTTTGATTTGAAGATAGTCTCTGTAGATCAGCTGCTTACACTCCATCCTTCGGCCCACTAGCAGCGGAGTCCCTTTCCATGGGATGAGTTTTGCGCTGCTCACAACGCACAGTGGGACCTCGACCAGAGTAGCCCATACGAGAACCTTGGCAGCCCCCAGCATCTATCGGTACAAGACAACGCTGGTGCCCACGGCCTCTGGGTAGCAAGGTGCAAGAGACTCGCATCAACACACTTAGGGGCATCCTGTTGGAAACAATCTATCTTAAGCGCCTCTGTCGTGTCGAAACACTAAGGCATGAACGAAGCGAAGCATATCGAAGCACCGGCGAGTCAACCCTCGGAGGTTGAAAGTAACTGTTGGAGGTTACGCGAAAGTCAAAGGTCAGCGACCTTTGACCTGACAAATACAGCGCGACAGCAAGGACACACAACTGACTCGCTACAGAGCAGTTGCCCGAGTCGTCACTGTATCGAACCGCAACAGCAACAGTAAAGTAGTTATAACTGCATCTCTTCGTATTCCTTGTACTCTTACCGTATATAATCTTGTATCTCCTTGCTTTAATCAATCTACTTAGCCCTCACATACTAGCGCAAGGTGTCAGAATCCCAACCACTAGACCATTGGGATAAAAGGGCTTGATTCAGTAACGGGTCAGTGCGCCCATAACCCCCCAGGCGAACGCGCCTGTAACCCTCTCCAGGATCAATCGGGCATCCACAGTGCAGATCTACTCACACAAGGTGGTTCACAGTACTTCGTTAAACGCTTCCGCTATTACATCAGTCTTACCCAGAGTTCACCCCTGCAAAGATCCTAAGGGCTTTTCTCAGCCCAACACATCCCACCCCACCACACTATCATCGTGAGACTTACCGTAGCTTGGCGATGTTGTGGTGGCCCAACCCCATCTTGAGGAGCAGTGACTCAAATTCCACTATGGATATAATGTTCGTGTGCGTATTTTGGTGTTTGCATGCTTGGTTGGTTGAAGGACCAGGTTTGTGTTTTATTGTGAAACAACACTTGGTATTTGTGTACCCATAGATTTTTATATTTCATTCTTTCTCAACATACGCCCAGCGGTTCCATTCCAATGCACCATCCTCTTTCCGGAAGTGTCTTGGCGAGTCAGGTCTCTCTAGTCAACGTTAGAGGGAATGATGTGGCGCCAAGCCAACTACCTCGTGATTGTTGCGTTTTCAGCTAGAACACGGGAGTGGCGGAAACGGCTGTGCCCCACCCCCGCCTTCCTTCCTTTTCTCCCGCTCACCAACCGACGATGCTGACACCGCAGATGCACAAATACCACTAGCGCCGCCACAATCCCCATTGTCCGCACCCCGCCGCCATTTCACAGCAAACATTACGTGCTATAAGCGACACCATCGAAGTTCCCCCTCCACTAGAGGCGGTGCGACCGCGCCGACCAGGCCGCTAGTAGGACGAAAATTAGAACCGCAATGACAGCTAACCCGGGGAGCACGGCGCAAGAAAAGCCGCAAGAGGCGGCGGGTACAGCGCTTGAGCGAGCCGAATCGGAGCGTGCGCCTCCGATAAGCGCCGCTGATGCTCCACCTGCCGGGAAGGGCATTTCCGAACCGTCGCCGTCGCCTGCTCGTTGCGCCAAACCCGATCAAAGTCGCGTGGTATGCGCTTTTAGCAATGTCGTGATATCGATCTTTGCGTGGGACCCTTTGTGGCTCTACTACCGCGGCTTTAGGATGCGGCACTCGCTAGGTATTATCGGCATTTCTCTCTCTTCGCTGCCTTTCCCGTTTTGCCTGTACTCCTTTCTGAAGAAAACTATGCTCAAGAAAGCCTCCTTGTTATGATCAACGCGCCATACCGCAGTCTTGGTCCCAGCTGACGACTGACGTGGCGCGGCTTGACGTATGACGGGCACGGTACTTGAATTCTGACATGGCATTGCACTGGACTCCCCCCTACGTGGTTCCGCGGCGCGCAGGTGATATCACGGGTGGAGGGCGGGGCGCTGGAGGTGCGAATACCCGCGTCAGCTCGGTGCATCGTCGTGCTCACCGCCCTCCTTCTAGTGAGCCATTGCTCTCACTCCTTGTCAGTGAACCAATCTTCTCAGGCTCTTTCCAAAG